TTTAGTAAGAATGAAATCATTAGGATTTCTGTTCTCTTAGAAGTATAAAGCTAAAAATTTAATTTACTGGACATATGTCCTATTAGTGTGGCTCAGTTACATCTGAAAAGAACCTAATGAGCTAAAGGAGAACCACTCATGCTCTAGTATAGGGGTGTCGAACTCAATCAGAGAAGGGTCAAAATCTAAAATCCAGCCTAAATCGCGGGCCGAATGGTTTACTGAACAGTCATAAACTGTCATTGTGATGGAAACGCAGCGGAGTGCAGTGATGACAGCGCGGTGCGGGCCACATTGCAAGGCCTGGCGGGACGGAATTGGCCCGAGGGCCTTGTGTTTGACACATGTGCTCTAGTAAGACAAGTATTGTAGTTAAGTCACAGAATTACCCTAATCATTCTGGCTATCTCACCAAGCCAGGGGCAGTGTCTAAATCCACCTGGCTTGGCAAAATTATATTCTCCATACATGAAATTACTGAAATTTAAGCTGAAAGCTATTCATGAGATATATATATTCAGAATCAGCATTGAAATATATCCTAACTGAATACATCACAATTATACCAATCTACAGGAAGGATCAAATTAATGAAAGGCAAGCAATAAGCCTCAAACTGGGCAGTTTTAAAACAAAAAAGATGGATTACTTTTGTACTACTAGCTAAAAAACAAAACAAAATCCTGTTGTTTATTTTTTTTAAAGAAAGTCAAGGCTATATATTATAAACATTACCAATTAATATTTGGTGGAGTAGATTGTTTACAAAGTAACTCTGAGATAGAAAGGAGGATCAAAAAATATTATCAAAGCTAATACTGAGAAGTCACATGTAAGAGGAAAGAAGCCCTTAACAGACAGACTATCCTAGCTACTGTCCACGTTAGTTTGGTCCTGGAAATCTCTAGCACACTATTTCAAAGCCTGAATGAAAAGTTTTACATGACATCCTTATAGATGACAAAAAGAATGGCTTACTCTGAAGAAAGGTTTGGTATGGGGTGCTAAGCCATTTAAATCACATTTCTTTACTACTAGCTTAGCATGAAAGGCTTTTTATTAGCCTGTAACATGGCATACTGAATGGCAAACCAAATGAAAAACACTACAAGTACTCTGCTTGCAAGTACTGTGGTTTTTCCATGAAATAGTCATTCAATATAGTTCAGTGCTTTACCCCTTTAAGAAGAACTGTTAATCATCCTGAATGACTAGAGTATATTATGTAGATTACTGCACTCTCATAAAGAGTTCCCCAAACATGACTTAAGCTAATTGATGAACATGCATTACTACACTTTCAGGTCTGGTCCTGCACTGAATGGTCCCAGACATGCTAGATAGGCTTTGAATATTTGTTTTTGTGTCTTGTAGATTAAGTCTACCGTCTTTACCAGGTTGTTATCTGTTTGTTTGTTTTTTTTCAGTGGGTAACAGTGGGTAACAGTTCCCCATCCTCCCACCCCCGCTCCCACCACACTTTCCTTAACCTTCCCCATTACTCACAATCTACTTTCTAATCTATTGTGGATTTAGAAGCCAGATAGCTTTCCTTGCTAGAAATATCGGAAATAAATGCCAATAGGTTCTGATTAAGGGTCTCAATGGCTCTCCCGTGACTAAAGCTTTAATATATATGGACTTGGACAATTTGAATACCCCAGGTCTTCTTTGCTTAGTTTCTTACTCTCAAGTGGATTTTATAATAGGTCAAAGATAAGAACATAGGCAAATCATTTGGATTAGAAAGAAAACTGAAAACCATAACTAAAACAGAACAAAAGATGATTTGGGAGGACCCTTATGTCTGAGGCAATGTTCTAGGTACTTTCATCATGATCATTTAACCCTTATAATAATCATAAGAGGTAGCTGTTACCTCCATTTTCAGTTAGAAAACCAAGGCTCCGGAATTAATTTGCCTCAGACAGTAACTGAGAAACCAATTACTAGCTTAGCTATCTCTCTCCAAAACCCATGGCCTTCCCACTACATGATACTGCAGCCCAATTCTTATTTTTGGATTAGCTAATTGTCTCTATACTTTAATTCTGATGCTTTTATTGGAACCAGACTCATTCAAGTTTGCTTTCCCTAACCAGTTCCTATAACTAAAGAACAAACAAATGAATAAACAAAGGCCAAATTAAGCTTAACTCTACAAGTGTTCATCTGCTCAGAAACAAATATGTTTGTAAAAGACGGCCATTATCTTCAATTTGTACGGTGTGTGCAAATATGGTAATGTTTCCACCCCCCCATACACTGACAGTTCTCAGTGACAATGAGTTAACACTTGACATCTTCTTTAATGCTGTCCTCTACATTACACAAAGCACTGCAAGCATATTTAGAAATTGTCTCAGTAATGCGTTACATGTTCCCTCAATTTGCAATAACATGATTTTCTTACTCTAAACACTGGAGGACAGGCAAAGAGATATGAGGAACTTCTTTTCTAATTTTACAAAGGAACAGGGATAATATACTAGTTCCCTGTTAGGTATTTTACAGCCTAGTTCAGGGCCTGGCACACATCAAAGACTATTTGTTTAATAAATGCATAACGGCACTCTTCTGAATGGGGTTTTGAAATCATCTTCTTTCACATTTTCTGACATACCCTTACAATACTTAGTGGAAAACATCTGTCCTCTTACAGAAACTAAGAGCTTAAAAATGGCTCTTCTACTTACATCAAAGACAAGAAATCTAAGATATACATGCTCCCTCTGGACTATAAAAATGACTCTTGTCCCAAGAATATGAATAAACCTCCATCTGCCAAACTGCATACAGTTTTTAGATGCATTATAAATACACCTGTATAGCAAAGCTGCTAAAAACACAGTCTTTGCAGTCCTAAAATATAAAACCAGAAGAATCAAAACCAAACAAAAAAAAGCATTCAGACCTTTATAAAAAGACACAACTGAAAATATTTGCAAAATGTAAAAACTCAACAGGTCTATATGATCAGCAGGTTATGCAGCTAAACTGAGTGGTTTTCATCCCCAATGTAAAGTAGTAAGATTATAGCAATATAATTCTAATATTTACAAAATGAAAATAAAAAGGGGATCTTTTGCCATCTTTCGGTAGAAAAACCTTTGTTTCTATTAAAAAGATTTCTGCTGAAATATAAAACATCCCCAAATTCCTAGTTGAGTGTTAAAACACATACCAAGCCTGACAAACCACGAACAACAGGAAATTACCCTGCACAGTTTCTTACAAGACTATTATTTTATGAATTTACAGACTGTGTAAAGATCTGACCACTTATGAATAGGTACATGTAAGTTACAAGCTTGAAAAAGCAAACTTTTCTGAACATCTACAATGTTAATTCACTTTAGAAGGTATAGTTATAAAGTATAAAAACAGAGCTCTAAGAGCAATTTCTTACTAAAACAAGCTTGGAAATTTGATGTTTCCAATCACATTACATTAATTAAAACTGGCCAATGAACAACTTTAAAGTCAATTAATTGTAATATTAAGGGTGTAAGTGGTACTCACCTTAAAATGTCCACAAGACTCTAACTATTCTTAATTGCCAACAATAACTAATTTTACGGCAAAAACCAAGAAACTTTAAAATCAGTGTTACTTTCTGAATTGAATAAAAATGTTTGCTAAATGATCTTTTGGTGGAGGAAAGTATATAGATATCCTGGATGGTTTTCTTAAAGCAAATAAGAAATTCCTCACACTGTGGTACACTTATGAAATCCATTTCATATTATTTCTCCGATTTCTGTGTTATATTTGCTTATTTATTTATTCACACTAAAACTCCTCAAACTTCATTTAACTAACTGATTAACTCTTCAATGTGAGAGAAACACTTTTTAAGGTGGGTCAAAGCTAGAACAAGTGTATCTGCAGAGTAATAGCCAATTTATTATCTTATTAGGCTCCAATAAAACACCCTTGCAATCCGTGGTACACGTTCAATTCATATGGAATCAGAAGAGAGGAAATGAAAAGGATCTAGGAATATAGAATCATTTAGAATTCTGAAAAGAATTCAAATTTCAAGGACCATTTTTTAAAAAGATGGAATTGGAAGTTTGCGTGATCATTTCCTTATTAACCATTACCTTTCATGTGCCATTTAACACACCAGAATTTAAAATATTCCCAACATAACATGCAAGACATGACAGAAGGAAAATGCTACTTCCAATGTCGTTTACCTGGAGTTGGCTGTTTCAAAGGTTTAGATGACCACAAACCCGTAGTTATTTAGCTAAAAGGGTCAAGAGGAAGGAATAACAAAACCAACCTAGGAGAGCTGTTTTTCCTTTGTTTAGGATCAAAAGGAAACCATTAACCACCTAAGGATTAAGTAAGTAAAAGACACCAAGACCCAACCCAAGGACAGGATCCCCCCCAGGAAGAGAACAAAACAACTCAAGTTGCATATTTTCAAACCAAGTTTGAAATCCGTGAAATCCTTTAGCATGCTTCCTAAAGGCGTGCGAGAAAACCCAACAGGCTCCACACACGGGAACTTTCACAAGTGAGGGGAGAAGGGCCGCCTGCCCGTTCGGGCGAGAGGACCCTGGGCACTTCGGAACCCCAAGACAGAGAATGGCCAACAAAGGTTACGGGACCAGAAAGCAAGTGGGAGCAAAGTGCCGCCCGCTCCGAACGCGGCTCCCCCGCGAGTCCTAACCCAGAGCTGTCTCTCCGGCTTTGAAAATCAGGACCACGAACTAATCAACTGTTCGCCACGGAGGAGAAGGGCCTCCGCGGACCCCGAGCCGTGTAGGGCCGGCCGGCGGGCAGCTCCGGGCGCCGACCCCTTCCTTCCCTTTGGCCGGCCCAGCCCCGCGTCCCCGCACCCCGAGGGCCGGGCGCCCCGCCGCCTCGACCTGGCCACACCTCAGCCCCAGCCCCCGGGGCGGCGAGGCGACGCGGAGCCTCCAGGACCCGAGCCCGACACAAACACAGCCCTAGCCCCAGGGGCCCGCCGGGCTCCGCCGCCTTACCTGGACCGAGGCTCCGGGTCCCGCCCCGTCGGAGCCGGGGGTCCGGGACCTTTTGTTCCTTCCTCTTCCGAACGGGATGAGGGGCTGAGAGGGGAGAGGGGAATGGGAGATTGGAGGCGGAACTGAAAACACTCTTGCAGCAGCCGCCCGGCCTCCCGCCCCGCCTCCCCAGCTAGTGCCCGGCCCGCGGCCCCGGCGCGAGGGGAGGGAGGGAGGGGACGCGGGCCCGGACGCCGCCCGCGAGAGAGAAGGAGGGGGTGGGGACGCGCGTCCCGCCGCCGCCGCCCCTCCTCCCCTCAGGCGCGCGCCCGCATCCTTCCAACCCCGGGGCCGCCCGGGCGACCGAGCCCTCCCCGCCGCGCCCGCCCGCCCGCCAGCCCACCTCCGCTTCCGCCCCGCGCCCTCCGCCGCCGGCCGCAGAGGCGCGGCGCACCCACCTCCGGGAGGCTCGCTCGGAGCTCGCGGGCTGCTGGCTGGGAGCTGTTCCTCCGCCGCCGCGGCCGCGCGGTAGACCCGCCTCCCACCCCAGGCCGCGAGCCCCGCCGATTCGCCGACGCAGCCCCGGGGCTGGCACCCTGCCGCCTGCTGATTGGCGCCCCCGGCCGCCCGTTAGGGCGCGAGGCACGCCGGCCGCTCGCAGCCCTCGGTGCGCACGGAAGACGGGACGAGCTGAGGAGGGAAGGCAGGAGGCCGAGCTCCGGAGCAGCAGGGCCGGGGCGCGAGCGGAGCTTCGAGAGTCCCGGCCACTACCTCCCCGCCTCCTTCTCCCCCCGCCCCCCTGTCCTCCCACCCCGGCCCGCCCTGCCCTCTCGGCCCGACCGGCGGCGCGCGCGACCAATCAGCGCGCGAGGTGGCCGGGGTGTGAGCCGCGCGTCGGGAGCCTCGAATCGGAAGGGAGACGACGCTCCCTGATTGGTCCCGCCTCCCCCGTAGAGCGTGAGGCGAGGCGGGGCCCGGCAGGCGGCGGCAGCGGGCGAGGTGGGGTGGGACGCCCCCGGTTTCGGTTGATTTCGTCTCCCGGGAGCTCCCAGGAGAGGCTGTGGGAAGGGACGGAGGGGAAGGAAGCACGTATCTGCCGCGGTGGGGGAATCAGCCCCGGGATCGCCCGTCCGTCCCTCTGCCTCGGCCTTGGCTCCCCTTCTCGGTCTCTCCACCGCCATTGGGTGGGGCCTGCGAGGGCCGCCGCTGGGCCCACCTTTCCTAATCAAGCTGGGAAGGGGCAAGTGCGCATCCCCTAGGAAGCACCGAGCCCGCCTGGAGGACAGGACGAGCCAGGGGCCGGAGGATGGTTCCGCCGGAGCCGCGGTACTGAATCCACTCCGGGCGCGCCCATAGCGAAGGAGCGGGCGAGTGGGCGGGGCCCCCGTGGAGATGAATGGGGGCGGGGTCCTATATGTAAATAAGCCCCTAAGGAGGGGGTCATCCCTCACAAGGGGTCTTAGGGCCAGGGTGAGGGATGCCAGGTTTAACTGGAATCTTGGTTCTCTCTTCAGTAAAAAAAAAAAAAAAAAAAAAAAAAATGCAGCTAACCAATGCATGCTGTGGACGACCCTTGTGAAGTCTGGAAAAATAAGCCCGATGCCCCTTAATTGCCGGATTCTCTTTCTCTCCATTTCTCCGCTGTGGAGGTGATGTGGGTAAGCCCCCAGCCCTAAGTACTAGAGAGCTGCTTGCTGACCAAAACTGGTGGGGGCATACCTGCATTCCGGTAACTTCGCTTTCACCCTAGGGACACCCAAATCTCTGCTGAAATATTGAACCCAACTAATTTAACCACATCAAGTATTTATTAAGCACTTAGTGCGTTGGGCAGGGAGCACCACAGAACTAAAGTAAAAAAGAAAGTTAGGTCTCACACAGGTAGTTGGTGGCAGAGACAAGGCAGTTTTCTTGGCTCCCAGTAAAGCGCTCCATTTCATGTGCTCCTTCATGAATTTCCTGTGGCGACTTAAGCAGGAGAGAGGCGCTGACCATGTAAATCAGTATACAAGAAGTCCCAAATGACCATTCCAAACAGTAAGAGTACTTGAAGTGTATGCTTTCTTTTCAGCTAGGAAGGCTTCTCCAAGGAAGGTGTCTTGTGGGGTGATAATTTGGCCATTCCCTGAGTCTTACAGGTTTTCTAGATGTCCTTTCAAAATCTTCATGTCCACCATCTCCCTCCTCGAACATAGAAGAACTCTTCTCACCGAAAAGTTGGAGATAGGCAAATTGTAGTTTTTAGTTCTACTCTGTTCCAAATCTGATCTTCGGCAAGTGGAGCTCACCTGCAATGATAGCTATTCAAATGTAGTTGTGTGGTGATGAAAGAAAATAGTAAATATCACAGGGCTTTGGAGTTCAAAGAAAATTAATAATTGTTAACATTTCTTCCCTTCGGTTGCCTTCATGTATTTATGCTAAGATAAACTTAGCAGAAATTCCTCAAAAGTTGACCTCCATTTTTTGGGCGTTTTCTTCCATTGTCAGCTTAGAGGCAGCTCTACTCACCTACTTTTTAAAACAGCTTGTGAAAGAGACCCAGGAAGCCAACTGATGGAACTGATCCATCTCCTAAGCCTCTGCTTCCATATCCCAGAGCCACCAGGGAGGATGGTCTAGGCCAGGGCAAAAACTCTTCAATTTAGAAGTAGGAAGGCTGTTTCTGGTTTTTGGTCCTTCCTGATGATCCAAGCCAACCATTTTAATATGACATGGCCTATTAAAAGCTACCCTGGGCCTGGCAGACATGGCTCAGTGGTTGATTGTCAATTGAGGAGGTCACATTTCAGTTCCGGACAGGACACATGCCAGGTTGCAGGTTTGATCCTCAGTAGGGGGTGTGCAGGAAGCAGCTGATTAATGATTCTCATCGTTGATGTTTTCCTCTTCCTTCCTCTGAAATCAATAAAAACTAAAAAAAAAATAAAGCTACTCTGGGTCACACAAATATTTTCTCCTATGTGACCAGGGTATACATTTATTTGAGTGTTCATTTAGGTGATGGGGGATGCCTGAGCTGGCTGGGATTCCAGAAGAATCTGCTATGGGAGTTAGGGTACAATTAAAGAGTACAGTAATTCAGTAGATGATATGCTTGAAGTTTAAGACCATCTTCCCAAAGTGTCAGACTTTTGAGTCCCTAACTTCCATTCTGGAATCCTTTTAGGATCTGTGAGATTGAAGAAATGGGAGGAGGGCAGTCTGGCTACCAATGCAGTGCCCATAGGTTTTGAAATGGGAACATGCCTACTCTCCCCTCTGCTAGAAATGTGTCTAAACCAAAATGGGTCAAGACAGAAACTGAAGGCAGATGGAGAAGGATTGCCGTGGCAACAATCAACTGGGAATCCCTTAGGGTACTTCAAGACCTATCATCAGTAGATTCCTATTGCATAAATTATATTAAGTGAGTCTTATTTTTATGTGAATGAACACTAAATTAACCCTTCATTACTCATGACACTGCAAAATCAATGAAATTAAAATCAATTCAGAATCAATTTAAATGTAGTTAAATGTACTAGGAAGACATAAGAAAATGGTAATGGTGGTTGCTTCTGGAATGAGAACTTGGAAGTCGTGAGTGGAAAACTTAAATTTCATCATTATTTCTTCTGTAGTTTGAATTTTTAAAAATATCCATGTGTTGATTTTTCAAAAGATACAACTCATAATCCATCTCTCTGACGAGATCTGGAAAGCCTTTCCTGGATGATATACATATGACTTTGCTTTGATTAACCTTGACGTGTTAGTTTAGTCTTGAGAAGGTTTTTAGCTTTCTCATGTATGTATGTTTTGTCTCCCCATTTAGATTGTACATTCCTGAGGGATAAGGAAAGCATCTCATTCCCAGTTGTCTTCCCACACCCTTACCAAAAGACTAAGTATTATAATTGAAGTGAAATACAGCATTTGTATAGCATTCTGTGTGTATCGTAGGTCCATAAGCATTCACAGCTTTGCCCCATCCTTTCAGTTTGTAGTTGATCTCAGTACAGCCATTGAGCATCTCTTCAACATCTGATCTCTGTATTTGCTTATCCTGGTAGAGCTAAGTTGCATTGAGCATTGCTACATCTTGAGGAAACATCCAGTTATTTGCAACTGAAAGGACACTGATTACATGAAATAACCTAAGAAAAATTGTAAAGAACAAAACTTGTGGGGTTACTTTTGTTGTAAATAATGGTAGAAAAGACTCAATACCAGCTGGATTTTTATCTCAATACAATGAAATTTTATGTTTTAAAAGAATTTGTATTAAAGGTGTGTACATCTGCCTACACATATATACACATACACATTCTTTATTCACATGCTAGCTTTTGTTAAAAATGAAAATTAACATCTGATGGAGACAAGAATAAAGCATATACAAGAAAAAAGGATCCAACAAGTATTTATCGGTATCTGTTATCTTTTTAATCATAAAAGCAATGGTTGATTATGATGGAAATTACTATTCTATGCTAAAATGACTCAAGAAAACAAATCATTAATTATGGAGAGGGCACAGGAGATCAGCCGGCCCCCCCGCCCCTGTTTGGGCCAGTTGGCTGGCTGCAGTGCGCATCATAATGACCTGTAGTTCCAGTCACTTGGCTTTTATGTATATACAAGGGGCCAGTGCATGAATTTATGTATCTTGAGAGGAACTGTGGGCCCAGAGGCTGCAGTGGGCACATGGGTGGGTCTTGGCCCATCCTCTGCATCCCATCCTGGCCCCGCCTGTTGTGAGCCCCGGTCCCCTAAAACCTTAACCCAAGAGAAGAGCCCCTCTTCCACTGCCACTGCTCCCATGTGCTGTTGGTGCCAGCCCCGCTCACATCCACTGATGGCACAGAGCAGTTGGGGCCAGCACAGCAGCAGGTATGAGTGGGGACAGTGCCGTCAGTGGGTGCAAGCTGTGGCTGCTGCCCCAATCACCCCTCAGGAGCAGGGGGAGATGGAGAAGTCCTGAGGGGCAATCAGGGCTGGCACCTGCTGGTAGCAACAAGTGATCAGGACTGTTGCAGGTACAAGCAGCAGCTTCAGTGCTGGCTACATGTGTGAGCGGGGCTGGCGCTGGCAGCAGGTGTGAGCGCCGGCACAGGAGCAAAGAATTTTCAGTAACCACCAGAGGCTTGCCTCTATGACAGAGACTGGTGCCCAGCCTTGGTCTGGTGCCTCCACTCACCTGCTCCACCATCCCACTGCAGCCATTGCCTGCCATGTTCCATGCATATCCCCCTGGTGGTCAGTGCACATTATAGCGACCAGTTGTTTGGTTGTTTGCCATTAGGTCTATTTGCATATTAGGCTTTTATTATATAGGATAGATTGTCTGTGTGTGACAATATTGATTGAGCCAGACTGCTGGTAGGCAGGATAAGTGTGTGAAGGTATAATACTCTTGGGAAATTTCAAGCTTATTAGCATAATTGTTCTAATGAATACTGAAGACGTTATTGAACATAACTGACTAGAGTAGACAATAGATGCATAATCAGTGTCCTGATGATTGAGTTAATGAGCCCCAAATGTTTGTACTGTTATGAAAAAGACATTTTGCTGAGGGAGACTAACTATTGTGATACCTGATGATTGACCAAAATATAATTAATGGTGGGAGAAAGCCAATTATTACTGGGTCCTAAAGACTTCGGTGCTGTATTTCAAGGGGTAAATTACATAGCTACATAGAGGTTTCATTTCAGCTCTTCCTTGCCTTCATACAATTACGGACCTTGATCAATACCTTTATTTTGGAGCTAAAACAACCAAAGACTAGGCTTCTCCAAAGTTCTATGGCCAATTAGTGTCAAGGATTATTCACAGAGCGGCCATCTTTTCTGCTCTGGCACTGCTCACTAACTCTTCACCTGTGTCTGCTCTGCACCCTCATCCTTTCTCTATTCTCTTCAATCTCCCTATTCTCATTATTTTCTATGCATATTTCATGACCAACTTCTTTACAGTCAAATTAGGGATACATTTCCTACCTGCACCTAAACCCCAATGCATACAACATGTCTATTTCCAGGTTCATCCTCCCAGTGACATTTTGTGAAAGACCTGATCCTCCTTCCAGAGAAGTCTTTTTCTTCCACCTATTTTTTGTCTCCTTGACTAACCAGTCTAAATTAGCATCCCCACACATATATACTAGTCCCACTATCATATCATATATTGTTCTTTAATATTGTTGTCACTATCTGTAATTATGCTCATTTATTTCTGTGCTGACTTATTTTTTTTCCACTCCCTATGAATGTAGGCTCAACAAGAGCAGGAAACATGTCTATCTTCTTCACCATAGCATCCCTAATTCAAGTATATATGGAGGTGCTCAATAAGTAGTTTTAAATGGATGGATAATTTTTACTTAAGTTCACTCAAACTCATCTTCTATTTGTCTGTGTGGGTGTGTCTTAGCACAGATCCCTAGAAAACAGCCTCATGTAAGGATTAAGGGCCGAGGCTTTACTTAGGAGCTATTATCCCAAAGCAGCAACATTAAGGGAGGAAAAGGTAAGAAAAAATGGGGAGCAATGCATGGTGATGCATTACTGTGATAACCATTGCTAATGATAAGCCTTGTAGATTAACAGCCAGTCTTTTAACAGGTGCAATCTCTTGGCCATACAGAACATCTTCATACAGACAATATGGAATGAATAGTCATGCTTTGGAACAATCCAAGGAAGGGAGGAACTTTATGTCCCCTGTTTCCTGTTAGTCAAAGATTGTCCCACAGGAAGCTAACTTCCCACACTGCCCAGTTGTGTTATCCATATGCTTTGATAGCCACTCAGAAAGCCAAGTGCCCTGCCCTAGAGTCTAGGAGTGATGGGAGGAGTCTGTGAGTATGTGGCTGGGCGGCCTTGGACAACCAAACCACGAGGGACTTAACTAAGTCACGCATGGTGGCAACGGAAACAGAGCAAAATGCCAAAAGTTCCAGAAATGCTAAAGCCCAGTAAATCTGAGAAGACTCATAAACTAAGCCTAATATAGAGTAACTAGAAGACTGATACATGAAATTCATTCACGGATGTGTTTGTGTGTGTGTCCCTCAGCCCAGCCTGCACCCTCTCCAATTTGAGACCCAGTGAGGGATGTCTGACTGCCCGTTTAGGCCTGATCTCACCACCGGGATCGGGCATAAATGGGGAGACGGACATCGCTCTCACAATCCAGGACTGCTGGCTTCCAACCAATTGCTTGCCTGATTGCCCCTAACCTAAGATAACCAGATGTCCCGCTTTTGGCAGGACAGTCCCGATTTTGAACAATTTGTCTTGTGTCCCGCGGAGTTTAAAAAATAAAATAAAATAAAATAAAAAGTCCCGATTTGTGGAAAGTTTCTTTTAAATCTTTTGGACTTTTTTTTAAAACGCCATAGGATGCGGGACAAATTGTTAAAAATAGGGACTATCCCGCCAAAAGTGGGATGTCTGGTCACCTTACACTAACCACCTCTGCCTGCCAGCCTGATCACCCCCTAACCACTCTCCTGCCAGCCTAACTGCTCCCCTGTCAGCCCAATTGCTCCCAACTGCTCTCCCTTGCTGACCTGGTCACCCCTAACTGCCTTTTTCTGCTGGCCTGGTCACCCCTAACGGTCCTCCCTGCCGGCTTGGATATGCACCCCCCTCCAACTGCTCTCCCCTGCAAGTCTGTTCCCCCCAATGCCTTCCTCTACTGGTTTGATTTCCCATAACTATCCTCCCCTGCATGCCTGGTTCCACTCAACTGCCCTCCGTTGCAGGCCTGGTCCCTCCCAACTGCCCTTCCCTGCTGGCCTGATTACCCACAACTGCCCTCCCCTGCCAGCCATCTATGGTCGTCATCTTGTGTCCACATGAGGGTGACCATCTTTGACCACATGGGGGTGGCCATCTTGTGTGTTGGAGTGATGGTCAATTTGCATATAGCCTATTTATTATATAGAATTATTACCACAGCAAAGGTAGGACCAGGTCTGTACTCCTATAATAATTGTTAATTAAATTTTTGTTGAATGAATGATTGCATGCATAAATGGCATAATCATCTACTGACTTAAGCTGAAAATTTGGAGTTATCCATGATCTTTCTTCCTTAATTTCTATATATTAAAATGAGGACAAAATGCTTTTTGTCTCTAACTTCATAATGTATAATACATCTCAGATCCAATGTCTCCTCTCCAAGCTCACTGTCTTCACTCAGACCTTTGTCATCTTTCATTGGGATTATTGTCATAGCTATCGATACTTAACTGGTCTTCATGTTTCCAGCCTTTCTCCCCTCCCATCCATTCTCCTTGCTGCCAGGATTTCTTTAATGCCATATTTTATAATTGCAAATCTGATGTCATTATCTTGATTAAATTGATATTTTCTTCCTTTAGTTTTTTTTTTTCAGGATCTTTAGCATGCCTAAAAGATCCTTCATGAGCTGCCCTAGATAGTCTCTTTAGCTTTATACCTCACCACTCCCTATGTTACTCCTTGGCCCACAGCCATACTGAACTCCTGGCAGTTTGTCCAATACACCATGCTCTCTCATTTCTCAGTGGCTAGGCTGTGCTCTTGGTTCTGCCTGGAATGCATTTGTGCCTGATTAACCTCTATTCATGTAGCCCCATTCATCTATTCATCCATCCATCCACCCAACCACTTACCCACCCATCCAGTATTCTTTGTAATAGCTAGGATTCTTAGTTGCAAGCAACAGAAGAAGTTGACATTGCTGTCTTAAGAAGAAAGGAATTTGTTGAAAAGATATTGAGAGGCTGACACAATTGCTGGGAAGGCTGCAAAATTAGGTTCCGACAATAAGAAAAAACAAGGAAGTCTGGGCAGCAGCTAGGATCACAGCCAACATCACAATATAGCATGCTGAGGGAGGTGGCCATTTCTGTACCTCAATTTATACTTCCAATTCAATGGCACTGGACACTGGCACCACCCATCACTGGCATTACCAGCCTTATTGCTCATGGAAACCAGATGTCACTGCAGTACCTTTTATTGCCACCAGAATGGATTCTCCACCAAACCTCCTTTATATTACCAGAGTTCCCTCTTTGAAGCTGGGCAAATCCCTTAGGTTTACCAAGTTTGGCATGTTAGATTTTTTGTTTGTTTGTTTTTTCAGCAGTTGCATGCAGGGCTGGGAAGATATGGGCTGATATTTTGGGCTTCTATAATGTAATTGGGATCTGCTTCTCACCAGCAATCATTAGATTATCCCAAGCAAGAGGTACTCCATAGCAATACCAGTTATTGGCTTTTTATGACAAGCACTTGCAACTTCCCATCCAACTTTCTGTTGGCCTGTGTTCCAGACAGGCCAGAAGTGCTGGGATGTCAGTACTTTCAGGAATAAACTCCAGCCAATGCAGGAAGGGTT